TATTCAAATTTCATTAATTCAATCTATTCGGATCTCATAATGTCATACCTAACCCGTTTTAAAAGGAATAGAGTATTATAAGTTTTTAAGAATATAGTTGATGGTTTGATTACGTCACATGTACAAAGAAAAATAATAATATATTTCTTTATATTTATCAATTAATTTATCTACTTTACTAATCTATATTCCTTCTCTTTTTCCCCCGAGACCTAATTGCGATCCTCTCCTCTTTATTTTAAAATATAATACTCCTAAAAATTACGAATAATAGCATCATATTTTACAAAAGGGTAGTGTACAAGTAATATTTTAAAATTTGATTTAAGTATAAGATAATTTATAAAATTTAATAGAATATTTATAAATATTTTAAAAAAAAATATTCACATATCTATCCAGTTCATTTGGTGGCATATTTGACTTAAGGGAAAAATTGATACTTTTAATAGAATTTAATTTTAAAATTTTTATTGGTATAATGATATTTCTTAATTCATATAAATCACTTTAAAAAGATTTATAGATGGGATTGCATTGCAGTGAATTCCACTCACTGCATGAAATGCACGCGTAGAAACAAATTTTGATTATAAATATAAATTACTTATAATATATTTAATTCTTATTTTTTTAATTATAATCTTTTTTTTGGTTGGTAAAAAGACAAAATGATATTAAAAGTAAAGAAGATTACATCTTCCCAAACGATACAGACATACAAAATTCATAAGAAAAATTGAAAAACAAAAGAAAAGGAACTACTCTAGTATTATAACTCTTAACACAAGATAAAAGTAAAAAAAAATGTCTTTCCAGGTGGATCAACAGAGAGAGGAGGTTTAGGTGGAATTGTGATGAAACGTTAATGATTGTAATCCTTGATGTGTAAAACCTCCAGAACTCTTGATCCAATAAAGGGAAGCTCTGAGGCATAGCCAAAAAAAATTTGACCCTTGTAATTTTCGCTACGCCATAGAAATTGTTATAATGTTGTTCCTTTGAAGCATATAATTCCCTGACTGTGAGTAGTCCTCTATTTCTTTACTTTATATAGAATAATATCCCATTCTTTCTTAATTGGGAAGTCTTTGCTCAAAACAGATTGCACAGGAGACTTATAATTATTCATATCAGACTGAGAAAAAAAGGCTAACTGAGATAAAGAGAGTGTGCCATGTATCTCTGTGATAGTAGCAATTAAAGATACCTTCTTCCCTTGATATATGATTAAATTTCGCTTTTGTCAGATAGCATTTAAAACACAGATAATCCCACAAGCAACAATAACATATCCATCCTTGACCAGAACAGGGAGAGTATTCTTTAGCCAAACAATAAACTGTTGAAAACTATCATGGTGCAGTTTTATGTTAAGACCGCCAAACCACGTAGCTCCAAAGAAAGGACAGGATATGAAAAGATGCTCTAAAGTCTCCTCTATTTGACAACCAAAAGAGCAAAAGCCAGAAATATTAAGGTGATAAGCCTTCAATACATCACAAGAAGGGATAGCATGTCTAATGCATTTCCAAGTAAAAAGCAACATCCTTTGAGACAAAGAAAATTTCCAAATGAATCTCTAGAAATCATTTAAAACTGCAATATCCCCATTAGTTAAAATGGAAGCTCCATCTTTTACCTTATATGCACCCAAAGAATTTTCTTTCCATGCCAGTTTATCTGAGGTATCCGGTCTTCATTACAAAATTCAAATAATTAATTTGCAAATAAGGGATAATCAATTAAAATTAGTTTAAAATAATAAAAATATTAGAACTTAGAAATAGATTTTTTATTTTTAAATATGTTCTTATAATAAATAAAAAATATAGACAGAAATGTCATGTGAAATAGTATGATAAATGAGAAAAATAAATATTGAAGAAAAAAGTTAACAAATTACATAAAAAACTAAGATAAACTCAAATTAAAATTTACCCTATAATAATTTTTTAAAAAAATTTATTGGATGGAGCATGGAGTTGTAGTTACTGTCACAGAGGTTAGACGTGTCCCATCCCATGTCCAAAATGGGAATTGAAGCATTGAAGCATTTAATGATTTGACTGAAAATATTAAAGAACTGGAGCGGCAGCCTGCAAGGAAAGCAGGTGAGGGAAGAGGGCGACACGTGTATGAAAGTAAAGGGTGAAATGAAAAGGCTGCCCTTCTTTGACTCTTTCACTGACTTTGACGTCACATTAATTGTTTATTGGTTGCTTCCTCCAAGTTGACGCTGTTTGGTTTGAATTTGATCCCCTGCGGCCACTTCTTTGTACTCCCTTGCGTGGCGACAACCGTGTTCTGCTTCTCTGCGCATGTGACATGAGGAGGACACGCCAAAAGACGATGGAGCCCTTCTGCTTAAAAAGGCAATTTAGCTTCTGAAATATTTTATACACTGATCACTTCTTTATTTTTTCAGTTAATACTTTAATTATAAGAACTATTTGATTAATTTTAAAAGATTAAAAAAAGTTAAGTTAGTTGTTTGTTTTAAATTGGTGTTGTGTTTTCTAAAATATCCTTACTAATTAAGTGTATTAGCTAGAACTACCATTGTTAGAAGGACTACATTGAAAAAATGCATAAATATGAGAAACAAAGTGGATTGGGGTCTTATATTTAAGATCAAAATAAAAGTCAAATAAGTTTTTATATTAAGGATTGGAGGTAATATCATTATTAATTCTTACTGCTTGATTACATTTTTAGTTTAGTTTTTGTTATTTTAAATTGTGGTTTTTCATCCCATGATTTATTTCATTCAAAACGTTAATTCTTATCATTTTCATAAAAATTTGGATTTGAGGTGAACAATGTTAGCAAAACTATTAATTATGGGAACCAAAACAATAGCTTCTTAGAAATTACTAAGGTAATGTCCTTATAAATTAAAAATTTATATGAAAAGTTGCATAGAAAATTACAACACTAAAATCACCAAGGTCATGTCTCTTATTATTTGTTAAAAACACTTATAGAAGCATATCACACTAAGTTATGTATTGGTTTATATATGAAAAAACACATGATCATGTCTTTTTAATTGAAATGGTATATTGCTCCATGAGGTATAGCTTTAAGTCATTACTTTATTCTCTATAAATACTTCTCACCATTACTTCAAACATACACAGCATTAAATTCATTGCTTTTGCATTTTGGTGCACCATAGACAAAGTTAAATGATCACTTTGTTAAAAAAAAAAAATTGTCTTGAACTGTACTCAAGGTTATTAACTATATCATTAAAAAAATCATCATTAATTTAATTTGCACCCTAATATTGAAATAGTTAGGAGCCTTAAAAAAATGTTGCTCACGTGTTGAAAATTTATTCACAATTTTTTTTTCTTTATCACTTGTGTTTCTACTTAAAAAGAAACATTGCCTCCAAAGAATTAGTGCAATACTCACTATTCTAAAATAATTTTTGCACCATAAAATACTTTTGTAATTTTAATTTACAATAAATTTAGTATCCTGAAGTAATTTTTAAGAATACTCAATATCCTAAACATTAGGATGCTCATTGTTACTAAGAAAACACTTTAAGGATAAAATTAATACTGCATAAAAATTATTTTAAGATATTAAGTGTTACTGAACAAATATTTTAGGATGCTAAATGAATAAAAAAATCACTTTAAGATACTGAATACCACTACAAGAAAGTATTTCATGATGCTAAATGCAATTTTGACCCCACATATTTCTCCAACTATCTAATTCAGAACAAGAAGAGATTATTAAGTTATTAACTTCGTTCGAAAATGGAAAATTTTTTTTTTTTTACTCATATTTGAACGGAATATTTTCGCATTTGTATTATTTTTATCATATCTAATGATTTTAAATAGAGTTGATAGTAGAAAAAAATTAATCAATACCACATTAAATAACGTATGATAAGGATTATTGATGTTTTTTTGAAGATGTTTCGTAATAAGAGCAGGAAATAGTACCTCACATGTTATATTTTATCAAGTTATTGTGATGTGGGTTTTATAAGAAGAAAAACATACTTCAGAAAATCGGGTGTGCTCAAGACGAACAAGTTTTGTACTTTGTTTAGTGAAATGTCAAAGCTTGTTCTGTAATTAAAGCTAAATTTTCCACACATTTTTTATTTGAAAATTATTTTTATAAATAAAATATAAAATTAAAGTCATTTCATTTTATCCATTATATAATAAATTTAAATAATAAATAAAATAACATCATCACAGAATTAAACTTCATACAATAGAACAAAGAGAATATTGGAAAAAAGTCTCCCATAAAAATTTTTATTAGTGAGTATGATCTGATAAATTTTTATACACAAAAAGGAGTATTATAAACAAAATTTTTAATAGAAGATATTTTTCTCAATATTCTATTTCATTAAATTCCATAGCGATGGCAAAAAAATATGAAAAAATTACATTCAATTCCCACAAAAGATAATTAACTTCAAAAAAGTCTCTGAAAATCCCAAAATGATTCCTAAACCCCCAGGGACCTGTGTATAATTAATTGTAATTGTAAAATTACCTATTTACTCCCATTAATTTGAACACAATATAATTCATTTACAACCTCAACAGTGGCTGTTGACAATCGAGGAGAGGTGGTTAACAACTTTGACAATGCCCCTGGCATCCCACAAAGTGAGTTGTCAGGAGCACTGCCGAAGTTGTCAACTACTTCTTCTCGGGTTGTTAACAGCTATTGTTGAGGTTGTAAATGAATTGCTACAATAAAATTAATGAGGCTAAATAAATAATTTCACAATTATAATTAATTAAACACAGGTTCTTAGGGACTTCAAAATCATTTCAGGATTTTCAGAGATTTTTTTAAAATTAATTGTCTTTTATGGGACCTGAGTGTAATTTTTTCAAAAAATAATAATTCCATCCCATACGCCAAACACAGCCTTTCGTGTACGTACTTCAGAGTCCACACAAGACTTTCTTCCTACGTCCCTTATCCATTACGCCGCTTGAAGAAAGTATCTTGTGATTCTGAATGATCAGTCACCAAAAAGAAACTCTTCTTTAAGCTGAATCATCTCCTCCCGATCTCTTTTTCAGTCACGTCATGCCATCTTCTGCATTTCTTCTTCCTCACGAATAATTCATTTGACACCCAATTTCTCTTTCTTAATTTCTTCTTCTTCTTCTGCCTGACCTGAAAGTTGAAGGCTTCTTCTTGTCCATCCATGGCAGCTCTTCCTGTGGGTTATTACTGTCACACCAGAAGGGGACCCACTACTGAAATCAGAAACAGAAAGGGCCCCAGGATTCTGATTCTACAATCCTGCCAGAGCAGAGGACCTGCGAATGGATCTAATGCCCAAGCGAACAAAGAGATCATGGGAGGGAAATTAGGGTTTCTGAAATTGTTGAACAGTTTTGAGAAGGTTGGGAGGAAGGTGAAGCAGAATCTGAGTCCACAGCAGAAGGGCGATTGGAAAGACTTGTTACTTATGAGTTTATCTTTTGCTGTTTATGTGTATATTTCCCAGAAGCTTGTCTGTGCTTATTGTGCCTGGACTTCTATTCCCAAACAACCATGGTAGTTTATTTGTTGCGTCTTTATCTTCATAGTTCATTTTCTATCTCAGAAAGGAAGTCAATAAATAAGACCTAATTTATTCCCTTTTACTGCTTTATTTGTTGCCCTTTCAATTCTTAACGGTTTCGATCTACCTAATTGTATCCGTTGTGTGTTTTTGTTTTTTGTTTTAATTTTTTTCACCGAACAGTTTTTAATCAAGAATGAAATAGATAAATTAAAATATTTGGTTGTTAATAGAGAATAACAATACTCGTTTGTTATAATCATATGGTCAACATCATCCCCTAGAACAAGAACTTATTGTTGTTATATTTGTCAAGAATCTTCCAATGACCAAACCATACAGTTAACTTGGATTCTGTTTCTGTTCTATTCCCTCTCCATCTATTCATCAACCTTTGAATCTCACAACTCAGACATACCATCTTTTTAAATTTAGTAAAAAGGGGTAAATAAAAGAGAAGTGGAAAATGCTGGTTTTTACTAGAAAACTACTGAGAATACTCATCAAGTCAAGAAAAGAATCTCACTTTACTTTGAGAGAGACGTAACATTTATGGTAAAAAGGTGGCCAGAAGAGTGAAGTATGAAACAAAACTAGATGCGCAGTGTGACAAAAGTATGATAAATAAGAGACAAACTTCAAACAGCAGTTTGATTGGATTCATGCTCATACATTCTCACCCAACGCTCATGACTTACAAATTGTGTTTTGAAAAGTACTCTAAAACAAACATGATTGTCCTAACCAGAAGATTTGATCCTTTTAACTCCTGAATATTTTAGCACTTGCACAAGGCACGGACCCTATAGAATCAACTAAGGCCATTGTCAACCACCATTATTCAGTTTATTCAACAACAGCTTTGATTAGTCAGATTTTTGCCTTTCACGCTTGAAGAACATAATGAGGCGATGAAATACTGCCAGCAACAACTGCCAAATAAGAATCAGAAGATTCTTTTGCCTGGGTCTTGTTTCAGGCCTTGGTCCAAACATTCCTTTATATATCTCTTTTTGCTTTTGATAAAGAGCCTTGTCTTGTTCCGCAAGCAATCGCAATTCTTTTGCTATTGCTTTATCCTCTGGGGCATATTTCTTTGCTTTCAGAAAATCCTCCCTGGCAGCATCTGTTTGGCCTAGTGCTGCCCTAGCCTTACCTCGTCTAAATAATGCTTTCACATTGTTTTCATCCTCACTCAACACCTGCAGGGTCAATTATCTCATCAAACAAAATTCATTGAACCATGAGTTTCATGTGTTTATTTGCATGCATGTGTGCACGTGCGCACGCAAAGTGAGAAATCATTCCTTTGGGGAGGGTTGTTAAATTCAACTTGCATCAGAACACACTTACCCAGAAAAACCCTAGCAAACTACTGGCTTTATCTAAATTCAACTGGCTCCATCAAAACTAAATTTAGGTGGGACCGGCCAAACTAAGATATAGCCACTAGTGAATTTGTGCAAAAAGCTCTGTTTAAATAACACAACTCAGGCTAAATTGGCGGCCAAAAGTATCCACGGTGTGACGGTAGGTATACGTTTACACTGATTGAGAAAATCTGACAAGAAAAGCTTACTGCTAAAGGAAAGCCCTAACAAGGGATGACGATGAAAGATATAACCCTAATAAGGAATGGGCAACAGTGGACTGAAAAAATTAACTTTTTCTTCATCAAAGTTAAATGGAGCCAATTAAACATGGTACTGTCTTGCCATTGTCAACATAATCAGAGCATCATCGTGTTTTTAATGGTCATATTCCAATCACAGCCTACAACATGGAAGATGAACTGAAATACAGTGTCAATTGAAATCCTAAGCAAATAGCATGGCATCCAAGAACAAAATAAACACGTGTCAGAAGAAAGGCAAGAAAAAAGCACTTGAAAACTTGGTCTATTATAGACTCGTATTATCATATACTTACAAGGCTACATTGTCCTATGGCTTCGTCATAACGGTTCAGCTTAATCAAACATGCAGCCATGTTAAGGTGGCAAGGATTCTTTACAGCCAAAGCCATATCCCTATACTTCCCAAACAACTGGAACATGAAGTCATCTCCCATATATGCTATGGCCTGACAAGAACCGAAGCAGTCAAAATAATTGATTCATTATAAGAGAGAAAAGAAAGAATAAAATGAAGCTGAAGCTCAGAGGAATTGTGCGCAACCATTTCATACTGTTGCATAGCCTCCTCCAATTTCTCCTCTTTAAACAAAGCATTTCCATCCATCTTTCTACGATCTGCCACACCAATCCTCTCCTCAACAGTCATATCACTGCGAGGTTTCCCCTGCAAAGTTGTAAGCTATTAGCATCTGATCAAGTCATATCACTGCGGGGTTTCCCCTGCAAAGTTATAAGCTATTAGCATCTGATCAAGTTTAATGCCATGTGATAATTCTAAGGCAACTTACTTCTTTTGTTTCATCAAAGCCTATGAGCTCAACTTCATAAATTAAATCTGCCATAGGTGGAACATTTGGAAAAGAGAAGTTGCCTTCCTTTCCATATCCTAATTCCCAGCCCACACGCAGTAAGGCACGCTCACCAGCTTTCATGCTGGCCACACCAATAGCCAAGCCAGTCATCTCTTTCTTCTCTGTTTCACAGCAATACCATCAAATTTTAACATGTCAGCACATTATTGCACTAGGAAGCTAGAGTTTGCCAACAAAATATCACACAAACATTAGAAAACAATTAGAGAGAGAACTTTCTTTAGGCTTGAGGAGAGAGCAAAGGGTGAGTGTGGAAAGGAAGAGGGAGCAAAGTCAGGCTTTGTAATCATGTGCCATTAGCATCTCTGACTACCCTTAACGGAGGTTTCACAAAGCAGCAAAACATTACTACTTTCAGAACTTTCATGCATCAATTTTCTCAAAAATAGCACAAACTACAACATTTTGGAAGTACACAAATCATTCCACCATTTAGGGAAACTTATTTTCGTTTCTCAATATGCATAAATACCAGAAGATGACCACACTATTGGACATCACATATCCAGTAAGTTACCAATACAGAAAAGAAATTAGGATATAGACATCGATATAAGTGCAATCTCCCACAGGACAGAGCCAAAATTTACACTTGATACATGTATGATGTCGACCAGTGAAGAAAGCAAATATGTTTTATGCTGATCAGGAAGATACCTTTCCCTAATATCATTTCAGTGGGTCGTTGCTCATCCCATGTGTCTTCAAACTTGTGCTGTGTGCTTTCAGTCCATGCCCTGTAATGAACTACCATCGCATGCCATCTAGGTCAGAGTCATTAATTTGACAAGCAGTAAGAGACAAACCTCTTGGAAACAACGGATGTTAAGGGATCAATAGGAATAAATACAGGAGGACAAGACAGTCAATGTCATTCTGGCCATCCCTATTTTTATCCATATCTGGACTCTGGAAGTAAGTACTTTTAATTATAAAGCAGCATTTGATGTCCAAATATGTTATGTTTTGATACTACAGCAATGGCGATGTTGCTATGTAGGCAGGCATGATCAATTTTGCACAGGAATTCTAGAATAGACCCCGTAAAAACACATACTATATTTGGTGAAAGCTGACTTAAACGTTGAATATGCTTTTCCTGCGTGGCATATCACAGCAAAAACTTCAAAGTTCAGAGCATCACACCTCTATCTACTATCTATTACTAAAGTTAATTAGTCTCATTCTTAGCCTCATCCTAACTGTTCACTTAACTAATAAAATGAGGTATAAGCAATCAGATAACATAAGGAAGAGAGAGAGAGAGAAAAGAAAAGAAGTTCATCTACAATATAGTGTGAACTTAGTAGCAGTTGGATAAATTTTGAAAAGACTGTAGATGTACAAATCAAGTTTCAGTAACAATGCAAGCATTTAATACCGTGAACTATGTACACGATGCCATAATAGGATAAGCACAGCCAATGATGAAACAGCACGATGATATTGCGCACCATGCTCCTATATTACTCAAGAAATCAATAATGGATTTGTCAAACTATGGAATGAACACGTATACCAGTGTGGAACTACAGTTGAACTGTGGTACTTACAAAAGCATGTTGAATATTTGGTAGGCTTCTGACCATGACCTTCCTTAATTATTTGTTTTGTAACATTCTCGTGGAGGATTTCAACCTCTGAGTCAACTTTAGGCGGATTACTCACTTCTTGTGGAGGTTCCCCTTTAACAAATGCAGAACTTTCAGTAATTATTTCATTTTGATCTCCTTCACCTGCAAAGAATAACAACAGAAATGAATTATGGACCTCATTTAGAACATTCCTTTATAACAGTAATATAAGTTAACCATATGTGTCATTAAAGAAAGACCCTATTTCAATCAACAAACAAACATCATGAGAATATATCCCTCACCATATCCCATCATTTCGCTTATAGTACCAACACCCTACACATGGACTAATGGCATAACATCGTTGGTCAGATTCATAGAAGAGATCATATAAATTCTCAAATTTTTTTCCCTTAACATGCAGTAAAGACAAAGCCATCAGTAGCAGTAATGAGAAAAAAAAAAAGATGTTATTCGAAGAACATTACACTTTTAGCACGCTAAACAGGAAACATAAATCAAGTTATGAGCAGCAAGCGGTAACTCCTAATTAAAGCATTTAGACGTGAAAAGTCATAAGCCATCATTCACTTAACTCCTAATTTCAATGTGAGCAAATGCAAGCAGATCATAGATAAATGGATAATCAAGCTATGAGCAGCAAGCAGAAACTGAAAAATTGAAACGCATAAGCAAAGGGTTTTGTGATCAACAACTGAAAATGAGGAAAAGAATACCCAGAGGTTGAGTTTGAGGCTCCTGAGCTTCCTCCATCCAGCAAAATCCTACGGGCGAAAGGAATTACAGAGTATCTGGAATCCTGCATAGCACAGAAAAAACCAGTCGGCAAATCAATTTGAACAAAAATCACTGGGAAAGCACTTCAATGCAATCGGATTCTAGAACCCATTTTGCCGCAAAACTATTTTCCGGGAAGGCAAGCACAGGAAATGTGGGAAGAAAATTGAAAATTGTTTGAATCAACTTACAAAGAGGAAGTGTAATCTCAGGCAGCGAGCTGTTCGCGTTATCCACTAAAGAAGATGCGAGCCGAAGCCTTCAATTTTCAACGATCGAAGAAGATTCTAGAGAGGGAACAAGCCAGCAAGAGGGACAATGACATAGACCAGGTTGACCCAAAAGGGAAAACTGAGATTACAAGAACTAATGTTTTTTTTTTTTGGGGGTCAAACAAGAACTAACGTTCTTATGCTCGGAGGTTACCCCGCCTTTTTTCTTTCCGGCATCGAGGGTCACTTGATTATAGTATGTTAAAAACGTTAGTATTTCGGTTAAAAATGTAAGTTAGCTTTTGTTAAAAGAACTTGGTTCTTTTTATAAGATAATATTTATTTTTATCAAAATATTTAATGCCTTTTTTTTAATTTTATCCCTATCTATTCTCTTTCTTTTTTTATTTATTTATTGTTTCTTTTACTTATTTTCTTCGTTAACAAGAGCATATTTTAGAAAAAAATATACCTTACATATTTAGTGTTTTAAATTTATTTTAACTAATTTTTCAATAAACATAAATGGATAAAGTTTAGCTTATATTTTAAATCGGAGTGAGTAATATTTTAAAGGAGTTCTGTACAGTTTATTTATACATATATACTTATTCATTAATACTACCTTCCACCTTTAACACTACTTTCGGTGCCTAATATAATACTCCTCCGGTTCTAATTATAAGACCCAATTGACTTATTTGAGGAGATTAAGGAAGTAAGTTAAGTTGGTTATTTATCATAAATAAGTGTTGTCATTCCTAAAATATCCTTGATAATTAAGTATATTGGCTAAAACTATCATTATTAGAAGGATTATCTTGGAAAAAAATGCATAAATATAAAAGACAAAATGGATTGGGTCTTATAATTAGGACCAAATAAAAAGTCAAATTGGGTCTTATAATAAGGATCGGAGGAGTACTTCATTTGATTTTTATTTTGATTCTAAATATAAGACCCTAATTTAATACACTTGATTAGTAAGAATATTTTAGAAAAGATAACACTTATTTATTATAAATAGCTAATTTAACTTATTTTTTTAATCTTTTCGAATTAGTCAATTAGCTTTTATAATTAGAATCGAAAGTAATGTAAGAACTAGTTGATTAATTTGAGTAGATTAAAAATATTAGTTAAGTTAGTTATTTATAATAAATTTGTATTTTCTTACCTAAAACACCCCTTACTAATCACGTCTCATTTGATTATACATTTAATATGTATAACTACTACAAATACTTTTTTTTAAAAAAAGTAGATAAATATGATAAACGAAATAAATTGAGCTTTTATATTTAAAATTAGATTAAAAGTAAAACTACCTCCTATATTAAAGATTGGAGGTAGTAATTAATTGACAAAAAATTGGAAATTTCGTAATCAACTGAATTTATCAAAAGACTAATAGGTAAATTATTAATTATGATTTTCAAATTTTTAAAATTAAATAATTTAAAAAGTATTTATGATCAGATCACATGTTTTTATTTCATTGTAGTTCTTTTTTTTTGGGTCAAAATTTCATTGTAGTTCTAATTATTCATGATTTATATGGAATCTTCAGCACTTATGGAAATGTGATTGCTGCCGAGAGAAATTAATAACAGAATTAGAAATCTTTGTAAATAAAAAAAATTTAACATACAAATAGAAATTTTGATTGCTAATTTCAAAATTAGAAATTTAAAATTTGGAACAAAAATCAAAGTGAACAAAAAATAGGATAACAATAATTGTAACTAATTAAAAATATTATTTGTCACAAGTCCATAGTATCACTTGCGAGTTGTAACCATCGAATAAATTTATTGTTTAATAAATACAATAGAAAACAGATTGCATGCTCAAATTTTGAAATGACTAGTAGAATGCAATGAGCATGTTAGTGCGTAGCCAAAAAAAATTTATAAGTTATAATTCTTGAATTTTTACACATTAAAGAATTAAGAAAGTTTATTTAAGATTAAATTATCCATTATTTTTATTAGGGATAATTAATCCACAAGTCCTTATAGTTTCAACGAATTTTGAATTAGGTCCTTATAATTTTTTTTTTTTATCAATCCTTATACTTTCACTTGTTTTTAATTAGGTCCTTGTATTTATTTTTCTTTTTATCAAGTCCTTATAAGTTCATTTTATTTTTAATTAAGTCTCTGAATTTTTTATTCTTTATTTTATGAATTCTAATAGTACTATTATATAAACATAAAATAATATATATTATTTAATATTAGTTTATAAACAATAATATTCTAAAGATATTGAATTATTATAATGATTTTAATTTTTTCAGCAAAAAAATTAATTGTTCTAAAAAATTTTCCTGAATTAATTAATTCTATTATTTTTTATTACATAATTATTAATTTAATTTACTTATTAATATTTTATATTTCATTATTAATCTATTTAATTAAGCTTATATTTAATTAATAAATAAAATTAAAACTACATGGACCTGATTAAAAATTTAATGAAATTATAAGGACTTAATTAAAAGAAAAATAAATACAAGGACCTAATTAAAAAAAAAGGTAAAAGTATAAAGATCAAATAAAAAGAAAAAAAACTATAGAGATCTGATTCAAAATTCGTTGAAACTATAAGGACTTGCGGATTAATTAACCCTTTTTATTATAAATAGCTCAAGACTAAAGTTTGTTTAAGATTAAATTATATATTATTTTTATTATAAATAGCTCGAGACTTACCCAAATGTTAAAATTTTTTTTTTAGATATTTAAACGGATCATTGACAAAAAGTTACATTTAAATAAAAGATTAATTACGAATTTAATTAACTAGTAAAAAAAAATTTAAAGTTTAGAATTTCAATGATAGAAAAAAGGAGATAAAAATAAGATGACAAAAATTACTTTCAATTTAGGAACCCCTAAGAACACAATTATATTTTTTTATATATATAATAACTATAACCATGCATGGCATGTGTTAATTGCTATTTTTTCTTATAATTCTTTGGTTTATTGGGACAATTTCATCATAATGCCTGATCGTTTCTAAAAAGATTGGCTACCAAAACCATTCTCCCAAAACTTGAATCAAGAGATAAAATGACCCTTTTTTTTTTTTTAAAACAACTTCAGAATAAAACTAGCAACATAATAAAAAGTTTCTGATAACATTGAATTCATCAAGTTTTGTGGAAATTTCTAAATTTGACACTCAAATATTTGCAAGAATTTGGCTTAATTAAAGGGTAATGTAAATGTGAAATAATTTGGTGATGATATCTTTGATTGTAGGAATAATTTGGTGATATCTTTGACGGTAGGGCTTTGCAGGGGCACACTGTAAAGGTTGATGCTGCTTCGGCATTTACGGCAGAAGCATTAGATTGCTGTTTAACCGCATTAATAATTCCTCAGTCAAGAATTTTGGCTGGAAGTATCAAGTAATAATTTGCAATGGCCTTCATTACCTACCTAGGTCTTCACAACTGGCATACTTTACAAGCTTCTATCTCATTAATTACTATCTGCAATGGACATTATTTCAGTGACTGATCAAAATCAAAGAGATTGAAAGCTTCTAGTGGTTTTCAAGCCAGGCCTCATATGCTAGAATGGTTTTGGCCGGTCCAAGTAATTACCTGTTTCCACCAAAACCAAACATTAGTTTTGGTGGTTTAAAACATGAAACTAAAAACAAATTTTACTATAATCGTGAGATAATAGAGGCTTCCTACGCAATGAATACCAACAATTCAACAAGACTTAGTCATGCCACCAATATTGGAATGGCATGTTACATGTTTGCTTTAGGAATATAAACATATTCTTCTGTGCTCATAAAAAAAATTATCAGAGATGCTAAAGTTACATGTGTACGGCTGAGGATAATCTCTACATTCATCATCGCATGTCATACTTGAGATTTTAAAAGTTGAAATCTTGAAGAATCAGAAGAGTTGAGCTTGTAATTGTAAAGTGGAGTCCAGATGTAGCTCAAATAACAAGAAGCATCAATGGCATGTTATTGGCCAACGATGGACACCTACTTGAGAAGTTCATCTGATAAATAGGAATCCCATTCAACAGACCCTTCCTCCATATTTCATTTACCAGACGTGTAACAGTCCCCACCAACATAACAAGAAATAGTAGGCACCTGACTATGTCTAGATCACAACAAAAATAACTCCAGGAGAAGACACTGCATGTCTGTTTCTTACACCTTTTCTCTACAAATGCATCACAAATTCCTTTTCTAGCAAAAGTATCCCAGAAACCTTATCAAGAAGACTCACAGATCCAACTCACTCAACCTGAAAAACTCCGTCTCCCTTAGCCAAGTCTTCAGTCACAAGCTCTATTTCTTGTACGAGAATCCCAACATTCTAACCAAGATGATAATGATGAGACCCTGCTCACAAAGTTTGAAGAATACCAACTCATAAGGAGTCATAGACCACCTTCACACTACACAACAGGAATCTATGATTCTGATGTTGACTACTTAGACCCAAAGACATCATGAACATGTCCCCAAATCATGAACTCATATACAAAGGGCAGTAATAAACATAATCATCAAGGACTCTACTTTGTGTCATACCGAAAGATAAGAAGGACCAGTCAGGAATTTACTTTATGTCATATGTCTACTTTAACTTTATTTTTGTTAAAGTAATTCGTCTTCTTGTAATAATTAAAGTGATTTGTCTCGTTGTAATTATTAAAAGCATATTTGCCTTTATGTCTTGTTATAATAATAATGTTTAGAATCTTTATTTTTAGGTTTTGTCATCTTATAACTTAAAGTCTCTATATAAGTGTTAAAGACAAAGATATCTTTAATAATTAATTAATTATAACAAGACAAACTACTTTAATTATTACAACAAGACAAACTACTATAACAAAGATAAAATTAAAGTAGATGACAAGTCCTCTTTATCTTTTGATATAAGACAAAGTAGATTACTTAATGATTATGTTATTAGTATTTTTTGTATATGAGTTCATGACTTAGGGATAGATTCATGATGTCTTTTGGGCCTTGGACATGAACAAATTCTTTTGTGCTCGTAAAAAAATTATCAGAGATGCTAAAGTTACTGGTGCAGGGTAGAGGATAATCTCTCCATTGATCATAGCATGTCATATTCCCTTGCGATTTTAAAAGTTAAAATCTTGAAGAATCAGAAGAGTAGAGTTTGTAATTGTAATGTGGAGTCCAGATGTAGCTCAAATAACAAGAAGCATCAATGGCATGTTATTGGGCAACGATGGACACCTTCAAGAGAAGTTAATCAGATAAATGGGAATCCCATTCACCAGACCCTTTCTCCATGTTTCATTTACCACACATGTAACAGTCCCTACCAACATAACAAGAAATAGTAGGCACCTGACTATGTCTGGATCACAACAAACATAACTTCAGAAGCATAGCGTCATACTAAACTGATAGTTCAAATCAGTAGAAAAAGAAAAGAAAGTAAACATTACAATGCTTACCTTAAACAACCAACATCACAGAACAATTATTGATCAAAATGTTACTATCTCAGTGTAATGCACAGCTTGACATTTGAAATTTTAACACAACAGGAGGGGGATTTATGATGTGAAGTCCAGATGTAGCTCAAATAACAAGAAATGCAGAAATGCATATTATTGGGCAACGATGGACATCTACAGGAAAAGTATTTGAGATAAATGAGAATCTCATTCATCACAATCCTTCTCCATATTTTGTTTCCCAGACTTGTAACAGTCCCTACCAGACTCACAATGACAGTAGACACCTGACTAAGTCTGGTTGGTAACAAATAAACAACTTCAACATCGAACAAGAAATCCACTTTTTGTTTTTCATTAATCAGTGTATTGGCAGCCCCAGTAGATGAATGACTAGAATAATATGACACAACATTACCGATCAAGATAAACGGCTTTCTTCAGCAATCGTAAGGAACAAAAAAGAAGAACCAAATGAGACTGCAGTTAAATCAGACGATTGAAGAGAAGCTCGAAAAAGTTTTGCACAAGGAAATATCACTATAGCTACATCGCGCCAAGAGGCGGCCGAAGAACCAGGAGCACAGAATTGATAAACCCTAATGGTTAAGGCCGAGTGCGACGTATACTTATAGGAAAGGATCTTGATGCGGCCATGGGGGTTGGGGGAACATAGAACTGAGACACACGCGCTCCCCCGGCGCCAACCCCCCCCCCCAAAAAAAAACAAAAAACAAAATCATTTGATATAATTTGCTTGAGTTTTGCTTTTGGGCCCATTTTCTTTCTGAACGATGGAAGCCTTTTTTTGATTGAAACAAAAAATCGGATTCTGGTTCACAACTATTGATCGGACGATGTTCAAACCGTTTGATATTAAATTAATATATTTTCAATTTATATCGCACAATCTAATAAGAAAAATATAATATATATCTCTGAGAAAAATTTTAAATATTTGATAATATATTAATAGGATCTATTGTTGCATATTCATATTATTCATGAATGATGCGTTCTAATTAGAAATTAAGAAAGATGTTGAGAAAATGATAAAGTATCAGATACTTTATGGAGACATATCAAAGCTAAATTAAAAAGATCAAGTCTAAACAAAAGAAAATATAGATAAATAATAGAAGAAAGTACAAAAATAAAGAATTTGTGCTCATGTTAAAAAAATTCTTCAAGATATAAGTAAAAAAAGTATGATTGAAATTAATATTTAAAAGAATATAAAACAGATAAATTGATTGAAAAAATGGTCAAATACAATTGTGAAAAAGTATGACTTATCCATATTTTCCGTTTTCTTGCCCTCTTCTCACCCTCTAAAAAGCCTCCAACTGACGATTGTTCTCCTCATAGCACTCCTCAACTGTCTCCTAAAACTAAGCTATCAACGGTGACCACTCAGTCTAACAAAAGCTTCGACACAAAAAAATAGAAAAAAAAAAACTGTTTGGAATTAATCATAACTAAAACAAAAATGATCAAGTGAAGAAAAAGAAATTATTTGGTGACTTAGCATTCAGAGAAGAAAGAAACAGAGCAAGCTACTGCAAACCAATCCAGGAAGATGTCAAATTATAACATGGATAATAATTTCAGGTTTGCATTAGACCCTTGTTCTGAGAAGCTGGGTTCACTCATGTTTTCAGTAGGAAAAAACTTTGCCATCTTCATGGGGATGGTAGTTATTTGCAATGGCGTACATTACCTACTAAGGCCGTATTCACAACCACGCATTGCTTCTGACATACTTGTGAGCTTCTCTCTCAACAATTACTAACAGAAATGGACATTTTTTTCCCAATAATAATTGGAAATCAAAAAGATTGAATGGTTTTGATGCTGTTCTTATTCATGCAGGTAGGACTAATTGTGGGGAACATAGGCTTTCTACGTAATGAATATGAACAATTCAACAAGACCTTTGGATTCATCATAGATATTGGAATGATGTGTTACATGTTTGCTTTAGGGATTGAAATGGATCCTTTTGTGCTCATCAAGAAACCCACAAGAGATGCTCAAGTTACTTATGCAGGGATAATTTCTACATTCATCATAGCATGTGTTACAACTTCGTTTCTTCACTATTTTCCAAGCCAGCACAAGATAGGATTCACCCTTTCTTTCTCTACGCTTCTTTCCAGTACGGCCTCACCGGTGTTGACCCGTTTGCTGACTAGCCTCAAGATAGGCAAATCTGATATAGGAAAGCTTGTCATTGCAGCAGGGATGCACTCAGATTTCATATGCTCTTTGCTCATCTCAATTGGCTACATTGCTGTACCAATGCACAATTACTGCCTTAACTTGAATGAAAAGAATCACATCAGAAGGATCATTGCCACAAGTTGTGCACTTTTAGTGCAGGTACTTTTCACGTCCTTTGTCTCACCCTGGTTTATGAACTGGGTTAATAATGAAAACCCAGAAGGGAAACCCATGAAGGGTTCACATTTGGTACTTGCTATAGCCTTCATGGTCTTAATATGTGCCATATCTCCCCCTTATGGTTACAATGCAATTCTAAGTGCATTCATGGCTGGGATATGTTTGCCTAGAGAAGGAAGAGTTTCCAAATGGGTTATCAGCAAAATCAACTATTTGTTGACCACTATTTTCTTTCCCATATTTTTCCTGTGGATGGGATATGCAGCGGATATAAGAAAGTTTGAGCCTGGAAAATTAGAAACATGGGCAAGACTATTTTTACTAGTTGGGACAGTTATAGTTAGTAAAGTTGCAGGAATACTTCTTTTGGGGGTAATAATGGGATTCAATTGGCATGATTCAGTTGCAATCGGGTTGCTTCTCACCATCAAGGGCCATTTTCATATCTATTTGGCCATCAAAGCAGTAAGTCAATTTTGATCTCATGGTTTCTTTCCTCATTTTCTCAATTTCTAGGGTTAAAAGGTTGGAAAAGGAAGAGTCTCTGTGATTGTAATTTGCAAATTGGTATTTCGAGTATTTTTTTTTGTTTGATATGAACATGCATGTACTTTAGATTGAGATCCTTTGAAGTTTATGATAAAAACTTGAGAAGGGAAAAAAAAATCTGAAACTGCAAGACTCACATTTAAACTGTTTATAGGATCAATCGAGTAAATGGTGGGTCTCAATATGTGAGGTTAAAAAATGTTCTCCACGCTGAGATTGGTTTTATTATATGGATTAGTAGACACATGAACTTGCTTCTAGTAGTGAGAGAGGCATCAATATGCATTTTCTTAGAATAAACCAAAAGGAATCAAATCAAAGTCTGTATGATAGAATGTGTCACATCTAAACCTTGCCTACTCTGAATATAGGAACTCCTTCCATTCATTTTGAAAATTCAAGGTTTGAGCATTTGCATCTGTTGATCTCCCCAATACATCCTTAATATGGAGTATCTATCGGCTTGTTCACTACTTTTAGCATCATCTGAGTCCTCGAAAGTTTAATTTTATTTCTCCTCAAATGATTCCATGATATTTTTTCGGACTAGATTCTATAGAGCCAATTTACTGAATTTGGTATCTGTCATCACTAAAGAGAAACATGTTAACAAGCAGATAGCATGCATGAAGTAGCCACAACAATTTTCCATGAGCTTAAATCACAGACAGGACAAAATGTATATACTTATCATTGAATTACTCTTGCTCTTATGCAATCAGATGCAATGCGGAATCAGTATATCCACCGGCATAGTGATGATAGTTGTTATATTCCTCACAATTTTGCCTTCCCCAACAGTTGTGGCACAAATAATCAAACGGGCAAAGAAAAGAGCACCTACCCATAAAATGGCCCTTCAATTGCTTGATCCAATGAGGGAATTAAGGATACTTTTGTGCGTCCATGGACCCCAACATGCTCGATCAGCGATTAACTTGATGGAGATCACAAGAGGGACAACAGATCCTGGAATCCTCGTATACGTCACAGACATGATAGAACTCACAGAGGGAATCGCAGCTACAATAGAGGAAGTTCAAGGAGCAGACACCTTGATTGTGAAGGACAAAGGTGTGGTAGAAATGAGAGACAGGGTGACATCATTGTTCAATGCCTATGTAGAAGAAGATGGTGATGGGGTAACGCTTAGAAGAACCTTGGCTCTCTCAACTTTCAACAATATGGCCCAAGATATCGCCAATTTAGCAGAGGACCTGATGATTTCCCTCATCATAATACCATTTCATAGGAATCAGCGTGAAAATGGAACATTGGATCCAGGCAATCCAGGGTTCAGATATGTGAACAAAAAGGTAATGTCATCAGAACCAATCTTTATATATCCTCTTTACCCCATATAGTTTAAATAATCAAAGATAGCATATACTGAACAAGCTAGTTCGGATTTTGATAAACAAATAGACAGATTCTTACTAGTTGCTGCTTTAAAAACAGAAAGGAATAAATATTATTGAAGAACAAATTTTTTACTCACTGCATTTCTATCTTATATCAATAGCTATTTGTGGAACAGTTATTGTCAAATGCTCCATGTTCTGTGGGGATTCTAGTGGATAGAGGCATTGGATCCATTGAAAAGATCTCAAAATCTAGCGTATCAGTATATGTGGCAGTCATCTTTGTTGGGGGACAAGATGATAGAGAAGCTCTTGCCTATGCTACCAGAATATCAAAGCATCCAGGAGTAAAACTCACAGTGATAAGGTTTCTGGTGGATACTGGTTCAGATGTCTTGATATATGCAGGTCATAAGATCCCTTCAGTGAAGGAGGAGGAGGAAATGCGACTAGATGATGAATACTTCGCCCAATTCTATGAAAGACAAGTCGTTGGTGGGCGGATTTCATACATGGAGAAGCATCTTGCAAACTCAGCAGAGACCTTCTCTACGTTAAGGTCATTTGAAGGGCAATATTCACTTGTGATTGTAGGAAAAGGAGGAGGAGTGAACTCTGTATTAACAAAAGGGATGAATGATTGGCAACAATGCCCAGAATTGGGCCCAATTGGGGATGTTCTTTCTGGACCAGAATTCTCAACAAACATCTCTGTGTTGATAATCCAACAACACAAACTTAGAGGGGAAATAGAAGGGCTTGATGAAGACTTTTCTATAATGCAGTAGAAACTTTGACTGTATCTAGTGCATAAGCTGGCCATATACAAGTTAACGAAAAATCACCAGGTGAGTGTTTTTAGATAGTGGAGTGTACTTTACTCAAAAAGGAGGTGTATAGATATTGTAGAAGGAGATACTACTTGTAGCAAGAAGGAAGATCATTGCTAGAGCTGAAAAGTGTAAAGATGATGTAAAATTTGAAAGATCAGTATCCTAATGTTACAATAGATAGTTTGGACACTCCACTCGAACCTCTTCATAAGAGATAAATCGGAGTCTTTTTTTGGCCTAAATATAAAATATTCCTTGCATTATCATTAATGAAGTTAGCATCATTAATACACAACCGCCATGTGAAAAAATTAATATGGGCATTTTGGGGAGAGTTAACCTTCAAATATATTTATTACTTTTAACTGGATTCCTTAATTTATATGATTTACTTATATGTCTCTTTTAAATGGGTTCAGACCCTAGGCTGCTCTATAGAGAGTATTAACATTATTAATATTCTAACTAACATGCTTTCAGGATATAAGTTAATAATTTGTCTAAACTAGTGGGCTTGATTTGACTTAATTTTGCAACTAAACTAAATCAAATCAAATCTAGGGTGAGTTAGGGCCTCAATTAGCATCGAGGTAGTCGTGACAAAATCTTTTTAACAAAACAATCAAAAAAGATAATCATGATAAACAAGATTATAAATCAAACATATACTAACGGCCAGTAAAATATCAGGGCTTCTGTGACTTTGAAGTTCTGAATGATTCTCTCCTTGCAAAATCTGCTTGGAGACTCATTCATGAGGAAGATGCTCTCCGGTCTCAAGTATGAGAAGGGGTGTATTTCCCTCATTCCCCATTTCTGGTTGATAAAAATGGCTATAAAGCCTCATGGATCTGGTCAAGCTTGTTGACTGGTAGAGATCTGTCGTACGAAGACTGCCGATGGCTCATAGGCAATTAACAAGAGGCACAAGCAGGTATTCCTCAATGTCACATGAAACAACTGATCTTTATTGGCCTGGTTACTCTGGTATATTTAGAAGGAAAGGAATGAGCTCATGTTCAGTTATAAAACTCCCAATCCACATGCTCTTATCTCCAAGGCACGTATGGGGGTAAATGCATTTTGGTCCTCATAACTCAGTCCACCGAGAGATTGGCTAAAAATAAATTGTGACGGATCCTTTCTCGAAGAAGACAGTTTTGCAGCTGTAGGAGTGATTTCGGGCACTAAATGAGGCATCTTTTTCAATAGGAATTCAAACCTTAGTTCGTCAAGCTATGAAGAATCAACTTTTTCTACTAAATTCAATCCCCCTTAACTATGGCTTATTTTTGTGGGCTTTTGGCGACAGAATTTTTACTCAATCTACTTTCATTACAGTGAAATATATTCAAGGTTAAAAAAAAAAAAGGAAGCTAGTAAAATATCACATTTATTATTCTAGTATTTCCCATAATGTTTTTCTCTTCAAGATTAACGTTGTACATAGCAGTAAAATGTTTTTAAATGCATTTCAGCAATCTTCAGCAAACCTCATAGGGTACTCAGTATCACTTATGAATTCAATCATACACCAACTAGTTAGTTTGTTAACAAAACTTGGTCTAAGTTGATTAAAACTTGATTCATATTCATAATGATGTGAGTTTAAATCATAATACTGATATAGAGAATTTCTTATTGTAGTTTTAGAAAAGAATAACTTGCTATTATTCATATAAAAGTTAGTAGTCCTTACTTTAGTCCTGGACCCATATTATTTGTAATGCTCATAATGGAAAATATAATACGAGCCTCAGATTCACATTTAAGTGATATGATGCCACGATCCAAGTCATCATGCATATCCTATGCATCATCCTTGCCATCCCCCTTGTCATCAATTCATATCTTCGGAGCCACCATCTTTTTCATCAGACCAATCATAGTCCATATCATCATTTGAGGCCTAGTCATCACCCTTATCCTAATAATGCTCCAACTCAACAGTCAACACCCTACCGTGGACCATGTCATCATCCATATCAGTATCCTCATCACTGTCCAAGCCATCATCCTTGGAGGAAGGGTGTATGCAAGAATTCCTCTTGCATACACCCAATGTACCAGCTCATTTATGAGCTCACTAGTAGAATTTTGACAGCTCAAGCATTTGTATCCCATGTGTCAGCCTACATGTCACTTCCCCTCTCCCCATTATTTTAATTAGTTTTTAGAAATAGGTTGTTTTTTTATCCTCTCCTACTCTCTCTCTCTCATTTGCAAAAGCTTTTCAAAAACTTTGCCTCTCACAATTACCGCCACCTACCATTAGTTCCATCTCTCTTCCCCCATCAAGCTACTCTCTCTCTCTCTCTCTTCCCCTCCCCTTCACCCCCCTTCAATCGATCTCCTCCAACGGCCACTGCACCATCTTCAGGACTCTCATCCTTTTTCTTCCACCTCAGCGTTAGAACTCATTCAAGCACACTGAACATTCAAGCCCATGAACGGGAATGAAGGCGTAGAACAAGACCCCCGCCATGGCAGCGAGTAAGGGTCCCAGTTCTAGTGGCATGCCAAGGACGACATGGACAGCACGACAGATTGCATAGCAACGCATAGCAGGAATATCGAGAAAATCAGTTGAACCCATATAAGCAGGCTAAAATGGAAGCGAATGATTTGAATCATCCGGGTTTAGAAGAGAAAGAGGGAGTAGAATTAATAATTAATAATTATTAAAAATTTATTATGAAAGGGAAATGAAGGAAGAGGGGATTCCATTAGGAGGGAAAGAGACGGAGAGATGCGTGATGAAAGAAGAGAGATGGGAGGAGTGGCGGTAATTGTGAGAAGGGGAGTGAAAGTTTCTGAAAAAATTTTTGCAGAGAGAATAGAACAAAATAAAAAAGCATCTATTTCTAAAAAAATAATTAAAATAATAGAGAGAGGGGCCTTGACATGTGGGCTAATACATAAATGCTTGAGCTGTCAAAATTTTATTGGTTAGTGCATTAAACGAGCTGGCACATAGGGTGCCTGCAAGAATTTCTCTCATCGTTGTTCTGATTTTCATATTTGTCATATGCCACGTCATAATCCTTAGTCTAGTTATCATCGTAATCATAAAAATAAAAATTAGTTAAAATACTAGCATTAAATTTGATCTTAAATATAATACTTCTCCGGTTGTTAATATAATACTTGATTGTAGAGTTGATTTTGCTCTAAAATATAAGATCTATTTTTTATATTTATTAATATTTTTTAAATTACCCAAATCATAATCAAGTAGAAGAGAGACAGAGGATATTAAGAAAAATGATTATGATATTTTAAAAAAACTCATATTTCTTATAATTAACTAACTTATCTAATCTTCTTAATCTAATTAAATTAATTAAATAAGTCTTTTATTAAGAGCCGAAGAAGTATTTCCAAATTTATGGCCTCTCTCTAAAAAAGTATTCATATTAGTTATATATAGCAAGAAGATTCCCACTAAAAAGTAATTTTGATACACATTATTAAAAATAATTTAGAAAAACCAATTCTTATTTGTCACAAATAACCAACTTAAATAATTTCTTTAACATCCCCAATTACTTCCAAGTTTGTGTTTTTAGCATAATATAAATTTGAAAATTCATTATTTCTATAACCTTCAAATATACAGCTGCTTTTCTGAAAATGAGGGGGCTAGGTTTGCCCGTCATCACTACACAAGATTGCAATCAAATGATCGTTTTGTATAAAATATTTGATAGAAGTAAAATAGCTGACATCTTATCATTAATGAAGGAAGAAAATTTGAAGCCATCTCATCTTACATACAGGATCCTCATAGCTCTAAAACTGAGCTGAAGGATACGGTGGGGATGGAGTAGGAGATGGAAGCTATGAAGTCTCAAGGTCTGCAACTTGATATTCATGTCCTGACAATCGTTGCTGGTCACTTTGTATCTAAAGGGCTGAAGGATAAAGCGCTAGTTATTGTGAATGAAATTGAAAGAGGAAACATAAAAAACATAATTGGTGGAAGGATGGCGCTACTATCCCTCTATGCTTCTCTTGGAATGGCTGATGATGTGAGTAGAATTTGGACTATTTGTAAATTGGACCCCACCATGAATGAGTGCCTTGCTGCCATAGCAGCTTGGGGCAAGTTGGGCAAAGTTGAAGAGGTTGAAGCAGTTTTTGAAATGATGCTGGAAAAGTGGAAGAAACTCCCATCCAACATTTATGCTGATCTTTTAAATGTTTATGTTCATAATAACATGATATCTGAGGGCAAGAAGTTTCTAGATCGAATTGTGGATGTTAAAGGCTGGGTTGGCCCTCTGATTTGGGATGGACTAGTGAGGCTCTATGTGGGAGATGGGGATGCGGTGAAAGCAGATTCAATTTTAACCAAGGTAGTTGAAGATAAAACTTCAGGGAGGAGGAGAGTGAGACCAATGTTCACCACATTTTTATATGCCAGGGAACTGTATGCAAAGCTTGGAGATAGACATAATACTGAGAAGTGGCTTTTTAGAATGAGGCAAAGTGGTTACAGAGGCCGTCTCAGGCCTTATGAAATTCTGACTCAAGCATACATCAATGCCAAAACGCCCGCTTATGGGCTTAGGGAAAGGATGAAGTCAGAAAATGTATACCCAAATAAGTCGTGATCCTTGGAGTTGGCACAAATTGAATCATTGAAGAGGGAGGTGTTGCTGTTCAAGAGCCCAAGAAAGTGCCAAAAGTCGTAGCTTAGCGGATGTTTTAGACTTCTTGAAACTGTAAGAGATGCAGAGTCCACATTTATGGATAGTGAAATGAATAAAGGACTTCTTGAAACTGTGTTGTGGATGCTGGACATGTCGTCCTCTAGGCGAGAAAACGGAAAAACACCGAAACCATGATTCCCAAAGTGAAATTGAACACGACTAATCACAGTCTTTTTTTTTTTTCTCTTCATCTAATTCTAAGAGGCCGTCAGTATTTTCTTTCACCTTCAAGGTCTTTTCTCTAATTGAAATATATTATTCATGACTTTTTATCTTGATATCCTATAAACGTGTGACTGTCTTGTAAGTTAAAATTGGTAAATTGTATTGTATATATAGTTATATCTAGATAAAATAAAAAAAGTAAGAAAATTCATTTAAATTTTATGTGGTTAAAATAGTTAATTTTTTATTAGAATAAAATAAGGTATCATTAAAATAGCTCCCTTCCCTCCCCTCCAATCAATCCAAATAGGAGATCATTAAAATCTCTTCCCTCCTTTCCTCCTCTCTTTTGTAGCTACCCTTCCCTTTCTTCCCCTCCGCTTCTCTTAATTAAAATCCCTCCTCTCTCCTTTTCTCTGTCGAGCCAAACACAGTCTTATTGTCCTAGTTGGGGACTGCCAACCTGTTTTCTCCTTCCCAACTTGAGGGAGTGTAGAAATAGTAGATGAATCTTAGTATTTGATTTTGATGTATTCGTATTCTTGTTAGCCTTGTATTAATCTTTTTGGGTTATTACATTGCTTTGTAAGGCCCATCTTTCTCAGCTAAATTTGCATTTAGAGTTTGTTGCTAATGGATTGTATAAATGCGGCCCATTAGGCTTTGGAAATTTGTGATCTCAGATTTAGTAGTATAGAGGCTCTTCCATTTGCCTATGCTGTGCGTTTCGTGTTTAGGATGTTGTGATACTTAACAATACGCTAGTCATAATACTAGCAATTGATAGCATTAAAAGCAAATATTATAGAAATCCTAAGAATTAAATAAAAATATTCTAGAATAAATTTAAAAAATTACATTTATTCAAATCAAGTCTTAATTCAAAGCTGAGATAATTTTGATGAAAAAAAAATCCTAATTCATATTAATATTATATATCATCAACATAGCAATCAAAAAGATAGACCGGACCCACCCAAGTTTTCTTCAATCGCTTCAGACAATTTCTCTACCGTCCCAGGTGAAAAATGATTAACCCAGTCTCCTACTATACCTTTCCTAAAGAGATCTTTGTTTTCATACTGCTGCAAGAATTTTCCAGTCTTGTTGAATTCTAATTCCTTCATCTTCTCAAAGCTACATAGCTCAGCTATGCTTTTTAATAACTCCATTAGTTTCCTCATCTGAAGTGAAAGGGCATTCCAAGAACTCAGCTGTTCCCTTCAACGAGTGAAATTCGATATCTCCTTTCAGATCTTCATACTTGAAAAATAGAACCTTGGAAGGTGTTTTCCTACTTTCTGTCTACTAACCCAACATATGCGTCCAAAATGGCCAACCTCATGGATTCCCGTACAATATCTCTCAAATGCTTCCTCACATGATAATTTTGGTAAAGATGGTGGTGTCATTTTGTTCATGAAAAGCCACAAAGAACCAAACTGGTCAAAAGGGTTTCGACATATATAAATTATCTATGGTAGGAGATTTGAACAGATCCTTGTATTTTTGGCCGTATTGTTCATACTCTTCATAGCAAATCTCGTTCTCAGACTCAACACTTGGCTGACCTTTTGTGACGGAAGTGACACTAGCTTCAGCCACCAGAAGGGTGGTATAGTTAGGTAATTAACTAGTAAACAAGTTTCCATTTTTTATACACCATGACCTGGCAATCGATTATTGTCATTGTTTGAGATTAAAAATCACGATCACAATATTATACTACCTCCTGTCCTTAATATAAGACTCTATTTGATTTTTATTTTGGTCTTAAATATAAGACTCAAATCCACTTTGTCTCTCATATTTATGTATTTTTTTCCAAGGTAGTCCTTCTAATAATTATAGTTCTAGTCAATATAGTTGATTAGTAAGAATATTTGAGGAAAGATAACACCTATTTATTACAAATAACTAACTTAACTTCTTTCCTTAATCTCCGTAAATTAGTCAATTGGGTCTTATAATTAGCAGGTAGTATTATAAAAGGATCTGATTATGGAGCATGTGAAGAGATAGATGCAGATGCATTCGCTGATAGTCCGATCCAGCTGTGCACGCTAAGGGAGTCGGCTTAAACAAGTATATTTCAATAATATATGATACTAAAATAATCATTTAGTATGATCATTATTGTGCTGTGCCAACCAATGCTTGAATTAAAAAAAGCTGAAGATGGTAACTTTGATTCCTATGGCTAGGGACCACTACCACTTGCAGACGATGCCAAAGTGTCCGTGGATTCATCACTACTGTCGAAGCATTTATATATATAAAATAACAAGTGCATTATCCCTCCAATTTTAATTATCTCCTTTTGGAAAGAGCATATGGCTTGAATTCGAGTTGGTATATTCCAAATGGGGAAAATTCTAAAAAAAGTCCTTGAAATATAGAAAATTTCAGATTGGGTCCTGGAATTTCGAAAATGACAGAAAAGGTCACTGACCCAATCTGTCATTTGTGAAATTAAGACAGATTGACAATTTTGTCCCTGGCTAAGCAAAAGCGAGTAGTTATTTTCTAAACAAATCTAGGTAACGCTTACACTGTTCTAGTGATTACAAGATTAGTTGTAGTTAATAATAAGGTATCTGATTATGAAAAAGTAGGTAGTTATTCTCTACATGAATCTAGGTAATGTTTACATTGTTTTAGTGATTACAAAATTAGTTATAGTTAATAACGAGACACTTGACTATGAAAAAGTGAGTAATTATTCACTACACGAATCTAGATAACGCCTAAACCCTTATAGTGATTCTTTAAATCATTATAGTGAATGAATATAAATGAGGGCAAAGTTGTCAATTCTTTTGATTTTACAAATGACAAATTGGATCACTGACCCTTTCTGTCATTTTCGAAATTTCAGGACTCAATCTGAAATTTCCTATATTCCAATGATTTTTTTGAAATTTTCCCTCCCAAATGTGTTGGTAGAGATAGATGTATCGGTGGCCACAACCCTTCTCTCTGGGAAGAGAAAGAAGCTCTTTAAATTGTTGGCTAAGTTAGTTTCTCATATTCAGTATAATACACAGTAAGCTTATCTCACACATAATTAATAATTTAAAAATTACGTTCGCATCGAATAGTTGCAAGAAAAAAAAAATTAAAGAACTTTCTTTTAGACAAGAATTAAAAACCAGCTAGCTTGAGATCGAATCATTTGTCCTTCAAATTATCACATGAATGCAAACTCTGAAAGGACAAAACGATATATTTGCTAGATGGTCCACTGTTAGTTTAAAATTATTTTTTGCACTGATTACAAATGACATTCACCACTGATTGTGCAACCTATCCAAAAATAGGGAAATTAAAGGAGCCCAGATGCCTTTTTAAAAAAAAATAATAATAAAACACAAATAAAATTTGCACATTTAATAAATAGCAAAATGAAAGCCTAATCGAATAATTGCATAAATTCAAAATTATTTAAAACACTCGAAATAGAATAAATTTCACAATCTATCAGACGATCACGCATACTAAATTTCATGTCTTACAAAATCCAACAAGAGAATTTGCTAAGGTACGATCCCATCCTGATAATCCACAAGCTCCAACCTGCATCAACATTCTTTTCCAAGTTGCCAATCTGAAAAAGTGTGAAGTGGCTCTAATGCAACGGCACAATTAGATGCAAGAAATGGCTTACAGTTAAATTTCAGTTAGTTCCAATGCTTCTGGTTCCACAGACAGACGCCTATGTCTTAAATTATCTTCTTTCAAAGACAGGCATAAATTAGAAGCCATGGAGCTTACCTGGTTGTAAAGAAATAAGAACAACTAAAAGGATAGACCAGACCCACCCAACTTCTCTTCCATCACTTTGGACAATTTCTCTATCATTGAAGGGTTAAAATGATTAACCCAATCTCCTACTTCACCTTTCCTAAAAAAGTAATTGTTTTCATACTTCTGCAAAAGTTTTCCAGTCTTGTTCACCTCCAATTCCTTCATCCTCTCAAAGCTACACAACTCAATAATGTCTTGAATAAGCCCATCACTTTCCTCCTTGGAATCGAATGGGAAATCCAAGAACTCGGCCACTCTTTTCAAGTAGAAGTTGATATCTCCTTTCAAATCCTCATACTTTAAAAACAGAATCTTGTTTGGCATCTCTCTACTTGCTCTCCAATAACCCAACATATGTGTCCAAAATGGCCCACCCTCATGGATCCCCTCCCAATACCTTTTCAGTGCTTCCTCAACTGATAATTTGGGTAAAGATGGTGGCGTGATTTTGTTTAGGTGAAACCAAAAGGACACAAAATTGTCAAAAGGGTTTCGACATATGTAGATTATCTTGCATTGGGACTTGGCGATTGAATCACGCAACGATTGAAATGGAACATGTGTACTAAAAAGTCTTGGTTCAATCACGTTGGAGAGGTCAGGGATCTGGTTATTGGCATAAAGATTGAACTCAAGGAAAGGAACAAGCTCATGAGCATTAGCAATGAGAAGAGGATGGTTATTTTGTGAAGGAGAGAAACGGCTACGATTCACAGTGGCAAAAGTAAGGGCTTTCAACCAAGTAGTACCAGATTTCGGCAAGGAAGCTATAATAATATCAGTATCTTTTGCTTGGAAGTGCTTTTGGAAGGAGCATATCGCTTGAATACTAGTTGGTGCAAACCAAATACCTTGGTAGAGATAAACATATGGGCTAGTCCATCCCCTCCTTTTGGGAAGTGAAAGAAGTAGTTCCTTACATTCTTGGCTAAGTTGCTCATATGCTTCATCGTAAGCCTCTTTCTCAAACTCACCATTTGATTGGCTTTTTGTGAAGGAAGTTGCAGAAGTTTCCGCCATTAAATCGCCCCTTAGGATATTCACTTACCCAGGAAAAATATATAGGCATATAAGAATTCAGCTCACAAGTTTCCAGGATGCACAGCACAGCTTGGCCACTGATTATAATTGTACGTAGTCTATTATTAGAATACGTATAAAATGAGGTACCGTTAGAATATAGGTGTCCACATATTGGGTTGCCAAATATTGAGAGAGAAATGATAAAATGATCTAGTTCTTATTATTGAATTTTAATAAAGTGATTGTACAGAGTCAACATATATAGTGCTAGAGAAGTTCAGACTTCATGACGTGTGTACAATGAGCTGGCTCTTAGTCGACTTATCTGACTAACTTCATAACAGTGAAACTAACAGAGGTTAGAGTTATTGCTCTCATCCCCCCTGCTTACAAAGAATAGGTTTTGAGTTTGATTGCATCATCAGGCAACTGAGTTTGTAAATAAACTCAGCTGATTATTTATTCCTAATTGAGCATATCATTCAGCATAGGTTTTGTCAAAACTTAGCAACCTAGTCATCTAAAACTTAGTGGCTGATGGAACTAGTGATTTTATTGCTCGAATAGTTTCAATAGTCAACTACACCCCTTTGTTAGGGAAAATCAAAGGGAAAAATGGAAAATGGTAGCCAACTAACCCTAGTTCCCGTTGGTTCAAAAGATAAAGAAGACCACAATCAGAATCCCTCCCTAACCTCCGAGGGGTTAGGTCTCTCCTCCAGTCCTAAGATCCTTCCTACCCTTTCCCTCCGCACAGCACCCTAGATAACCGTCTCCCCACTACCCTGATCTTCGTGGGCCCCTTCTCGTGTCCGCCCTCCTTCTCCTGGTGGTCCCCCTTCCTTACTTGGCACCCGGCTTGCAGGATTGGGTTTGTTCCTGGGCTGTCTCCTCCCGTATACCTGGCCCATTAGGGGGCCGGGCCCATCACTACCTTCCCCTAAAAGTCTCACCTTGTCCTCAAGGTGGAATTCTGGAAACTGTGCATTAATGAGGGCGCTATCTTCCCATGTGCTGTCGCATTTCGGTAGTGATTGCCACTTGATTAGGACCTGGGTACTGCCATCTGTCATTTTTCGTGCCTTGAGGACTTGCTCAGGTTGAACCTGTAACTCATAGTCTTCGGTCAAGAAACTGGGCAGGGTTTGTGCAGTCACCGTAGATGAGAGTGACCTCTTTAGCTAAGAAACGTGAAAGGTAGGGTGAACCCGAGCATCCACAGGTAATTTCAGCTTATACGCAACCTTCCCGACTCTCCGTAAGACTTCATAGGGCCCATAGAATCTCGGTGCCAGTTTCTCATTTTGCCTCTTGGCCAATTTCTTGAGCTTATAAGGTTGTATCCTCAGGTAGACTTTGTCACCAACCTGGAACTCAACATCTCTTCTTTTCTTGTCAGCTTGTTCCTTCATTCTAGCCTGCGTTTGTTTAAGATGGTACTTGAGTCTTTGGAGGGCTTTGTTTCTCTCCTGCAGCTGGGTGTTAACTTCTTCCACTAGTGAATCGTCATCCTTCCACTTGAAAATGGAGGGGGGATCTCTTCCATATAAAACCTTAAAAGGTGTGGCCCCCAAAGATTTGTTATAGGTCGTATTGAACCAAAATTCAGCCCATGGCAACATCTGAACCCACTTCTTAGGACTTTCTCCAACGAAGCATCTTAAATAAGTCTTAAGGCCCCGGTTCACCACCTCAGTTTGGCCGTCGGTTTGGGGGTGGTAGCCAGAGCTATACTTGAGAGTAGTCCCTGACTGAGTGAATAATTCCTTCCAGAACTAGCTTATGAAGACTCGGTCTCTGTCAGAGACTATTGATTTTGGGAACCCATGCAGTTTCACTATTTCTGCAACAAATCTCTCAGCTACATCCTTGGCGGTGAAGGGGTGTGAGAGAGGAATAAAGTGAGCATATTTGGTGAGTCTATCCACCACCACCATGATGGTATCATGTCGATGAGCCCTAGGCATGCCTATGATAAAATCCATGCTTATATCTTCCCAAACCTGTTGTGGAACTGATAAGGGCTGCAATAGGCCCGCTGGACTTGTGGCTGCATATTTATTTCGCTGGCAGGTTTCACATTTGGCCACATAGTCTTGTATATCCTTCTTCATACCTTCCCAGAACACCACGTCTGCCATTCTCTTATAAGTCCTCAAGTACCCCGAGTGCCCTCCGATCGGAGAGTTATGAAACTCCTTAATTAATCCATCAGTCTTGGGAGAACTCCTGGGTAGCACCAATCGACCATTGTACATGAGGCAACCATTCTTGAGAGAGTATCCCGTAGGTACGTTGGTTCCCAATAATACCTTTTGCCTGAGCTCATTCAGTTCTGGGTCCTTAGTCACCTCAGATTCGAAGTCTTCCACTCCAACGTATTGCCATAGGGAAAATGAATTAAGGGACAGGTTCGGTACTTCTTTTCGAGATAAAGCATCAGCTGCCCGATTTTCTTTTCCCGGTTTATACTGGATCTCGAATCTGTATCCCATCAGCTTAGAAATCCACTTCTTCTGGTCGGGGTCCATTACACGCTGCTCTAGTAAATACCTCAGGGCCTTTTGGTTAGTCTTGATAATGAAGGGTTGAACTGTCAAGTAGTGCTGCCACTTTTTTATGGCGAGAACAATGGCCACTAATTCCTTCTCATAGACTGATCCTTGCTGAGCTTTTTTAGACAGTTGTTGGCTAAAATAGGCAATAGGGTGTCCTTGTTACATGAGCACAGCACCGACTCCCACTCCACACGCGTCAGCTTCTATTTCAAATGGCATTTTAAAATCGGGCATGGTCAACACTAGTGCATTAGTCATGGCAGATTTGAGTTTCTGAAAAGCCGTTTGAGCCTGGTCTCCCCATTTGAAAGCGTTCTTCTTAAGTAAGGCCGTCAAGGGAGCTACTATCTTTCCGTAGTCCTTTATGAATTTCCGGTAGTATCCAGTGAGACCGAGAAACCCTCTCAAACTCTTTATGTCTTTAGGCGTTGGCCAGGAAACCATGGCTTCTATTTTAGCAGGGTCAGCCTTTACTCCCCCGGCCGTGATGATGTGCCCCAAGTATTCTAGCTGTTGTTGGCCGAAGCTACATTTTTTTACATTAATAACGAGTTGGTGTTGTTGGAGAATTCTGAGTGCAGTCTCTAAGTGCTCCGTATGTAATTCCATATCCCTGCTATACACGAGTATGTCATCAAAGAACACCAGAATGAATTTTCTCAAATAATCACGAAAAATGTCATTCATCAAAGACTGAAAGGTAGAAGGTGCATTTGTGAGCCCAAAGGGCATAACCAGGAATTCATAGTGCCCACTGTGCGTCCTGAAGGCGGTTTTGTGCTCGTCCCCGGTCCTGATTCGGATCTGATGGTATCCTGCCTTGAGATCCAGCTTGGAGAAAATTGTAGCACCTCCCAATTCATCTAATAGCTCATCAACTGCTGGGATAGGGTATTTATCAGGTATTGTAACTCGGTTCAAGGCCCTATAGTCCACGTAGAATCTCCAGCTGCCGTCTTTTTTCCTGACTAGTAATACCGGGCTTGAGAAAGGGCTGCTGCTTGGTCAAATGATGCCAGCTTCTATCATTTCCTTCACCATCTTCTCAATCTCTACCTTATGAGTGTATGGGTACCGATAGGGTCTTACATTTGGTACCTGCGCCCCCTCTTTGAGCATGATAGCGTGATCCTGGGTCCGGTGTGGTGGTAGTTTGGTCATAGCTTGGCACACCTCACTATACTTATCCAGGAGCTGTTGAATTTTTGGAGTTCGGGTCCCATCTTCGGGCTCCCTTTCCTGATGCAAGCCCATCACGTTGATTTCCAGCCAATACCCTTCAAACTTCCCTTTCAGTGCCCTTCGGCAAGCCTTGTAAGACGCTTGCATGTGTGTTAACGTGGGGTCTCCTCGCAAACATACCCACTCGCTCCCTGATTTAACCTTCATGTAGAGCTGTCCCCAATTTAATCGCACCTCTCCAAGGGACTCGAGCCAAGCTACACCGAGCACCAGATCAATATTAGCCAGGGGAAACGGATAGAATGTTTGCATAACGTTCAATCCCTGCAACTCCAGCTTCAACCTTTGGCATTTTCCATTCTCATATACACGTCTCCCATCCCCCACAGCTACAGAGTAAGTCGGAGTGGGTGTCACCTCCAACCCCAGTTCTGTCACCATGTGTCGGGCGATGAAATTGTGGGTGGCCCCACTATCAATCAGGACAATTACAGGCCTCCCGTTGATAGTTCCCTTCATCTTCAATGTCTTGTAACTCGAAATGCCTAACACTGTCACTTGGGAGAGTTCCATGGTGGAATACTCCTTCTCAGTCTTATCCTTTTCTAGTTCCTCAAAATCGCACTCTCGAATCTCTCCTCCTTCCTACTCGTCAACAACCATCACTTGGAGCTACTTGGATTTGCACTTGTGAGTGGGACCCCATTTTTCTTCACACTTAAAACACAGTCCCTTCTCTCTTCGACGGTTTATCTCTGCCTCAGAGAGTCTTCTATTCCCCCTGTGGTTGCTGCTTCCGGTGCTGGGTACTGCGCTAGGTGTCGCTGCTTGGTTACTAGCAACCTTAGAGGTGTCAAGTCTACGATTGTTGGTGACTCGCGTCCCTGATGACGGAGCAGGGCTCTTGGGATTTTCTGAGAAAGTCGAGAATTTGGGTGGGAGTGCAAGTGGGGGTGCCCAAGTCCTCGGGTTTTCCTTCCGGTACAGCTTGGACTCCTTTTTCTGCTTGGCCTTCTCCAACGTCAAGTTTCGGCCTTCAATCTCCGTGGCTGTGTCCATTAGGTCCTCTAGTTGATTGGGCTTTAACACCCGCACATCAGCCTTCACCTCTTCTTTAAGCCCATTCATGAACATGCCCATTAGTGAAGCTTCGGACACGTCATCAAGGGTTGCCGAAATCATCTCAAACGTCTCCCTATATTCAGCCACCGTCCCCGTTTGCTTCAGGCTGGTGAGTCTCTCGTGGTTGTTCCCAGT